ATACTTTTGCTAACTCCCCAATGAAAATTTTGCTCTAAGCTTGTGTGTGCATACATTTGTGCATGAATAATGCAACGAAGTTTTAAAACACCAGTGTCAAACAAGACAAGACCAAGAAAGGTTGTTTTTTATCAAAATAATACTAACAAGACAAGAATATTTTGTTGTTACAGAACAGAGAATTAAATGGCTGTCACCTTGTAAAGGAACTTGTGGTTTCTCCTATGCACCCTGTTTGGTCCTCAGCCAAAATTGCCATGCAACCACCTCTGCTATTAGTGAAACCCCCTCTGAGAATTACTTTGGTGCAACAAAGCCCCACAACCCTGTACTGTATCTAAGCATAAGCATTAAAAAGAAAACAAAAAAGAATCCAAACTAAACAAAACCAGAACCAAAGCAAAAAAAACCCAAAAAACCCCCAAACAAACAGAAACTAGAGACATTTTAAAATTCTGAATTTTCTGAATTCTGTTGCACTGTGGAGCAAGCATGTCCCAGGCTTGTTCCTACCTCTGCTGAGAAGAAATATGCTCTCCCTGTTCCCCTTGCCAGATGGAACAAGAAAGATTCTAGTATGGTTTCTACTGGGGAAGAAACCAGGATTCCCCCCACAAGAACTCCAAGACAAAGATTAAAGGCAGCTGAAGAAGTGGGTGGGGAGCTTTTCCTGCTATGTTCATGATGGTAGTCATGCTTCTGACATGATCTACAAGTATTAGTGCCATCCCCAAGGTGGTCTGAAGGATATTATCTAATATCTCTCTCCTCTGATGCTGAGGAGAGACAACAGAATAACAGAATGGTTTGTGTTGAAAGAGACCTTAAGGATCATCTTGTTCCAACTCCCCTGCCACAGAAAGGGACATGTTCTTCTAGACCAGCCACATCCAGCCTAGTCTTGAACCTTTACACAGATGGGGCACCCACAGCTTCTCTGGGCAACCTGTCCCAGTGGATCCCTGCCCTGACAGTAAATTTCTAATACCAAATCTAAACCTGCCTTTCTTCAGCCTAAGGCCATTTCCCCTTGCCCATGTAAAAAGCCTCCCTTCATCTTACTTGTAAGCACCCTTTAGGTACTGGAAAGCTGCAACAGAATTGTAGTTTAAAAATACTGAGTTGTTATGATTTTTTTATCACTTCCACTGTATTTTAACAAGCAATTTCAGAAGCTAGTGTCAGCTGTTTAATTTTCTTGTACTCAATTTCATCTTAAACAAATAGAAAGACCTTTCTATTATGCTTATTTGTTTCTTAGCAGGATACAACAGGCTTATTCATAAGCACTGTTGTTTGCTATAATTTTCTGTTTTGTCATGGAGATGTAAGAACTGTACGGATAATATTCATTACTATTTCAAATTATTAACCTAATTTGCTGTTACTTTTTACTCTCAGTAAAAACAGAGAGTTTTTAGTGTTTAGTATAAAGGTTTTACTTGAACTCTACTGTCATCTTGTGGTGACCAATGTTTCTGGTTCAAACTCACTAAAGTTTTCAAACTGAAGAATCTGGATATTATACAAATGAAGTGATGCTGCTCCTGCCTGCTAAGTAACAAATAATCAGTGTCTTCCCCACTAATTCCAACTGAGATACTTACCTCTGAAAATCAGGATGAAAGCCAGAAACAAAGGCAGCCAAATCAACCCTCATGAAAATGTTGCCTCAGCTTTCCTGTAGCATTCCTGGGATGCTGTTATCTATGTCAAAATGTTCAATATTCAGGAGGATACCGAAAGGCATTCCTTTGATCACAAAAAGAAATAAAGAGATCACACTAAGAAATAAAGACTTCTGTTTGTCTGCACCACTGAAGATAATTGAAGATAATATTAAGTGCTGACTAGCTTCAAACATCTATATATGAAGGCTGAGTTTTCACTATTCCCATCCCTTTAACTCATCCCTGCTTGTGCAAAGGGTGCTACATATGTGCACAACAAGTGATGCAATATGATGACATTAGACAGAACTTTCCTGGATATCAGTTGTCTGTTTGTCACACATTAGTCCTTTCAGCAGTTCAAGTTCAAGTTCTGTAAAACCAGTTAAATTCTGTTTTTTGAAGCAAGTCACACCACAGGGTGTGTCTGGCTATACTGCACCCCAGTGATGGTGTGATGTAGTAGCATGACATCAAACCTGAGCAAAACAAACGCCCCTGAGGTTATTTGTTGCTCACACACCCGTTCCTCTCTGTTCTGTCCTCTGGCCCCTGTTCTGGTCTCCCTGTCCCGAAACTAGACTTAACTCTAAGGTTTATTTCTAAAGGCATATCTATTTTTTACTTCAGTCTTTTAACCCCAACCAGATAAGCCAGGATGCTGAACATGGTGCAGAATATGGTATTCAATACACCCTAGTCTAGAAGATTAATAGGATCACTGTTTGCTGGCACAACAAAGGGCTTTTTCCATCAACAAATCTGGCTGGACCAAAATTGCTTTACAGAAGCTGTGATGGGATATCAGCTGCAGTGACAGACTGCTGTTTCCTACATCAAAAAGACAGTTCTGAAATCCAGACATGTCACCTTCTAAATTTTGGATTACTTCCTATGCAGCAAAGAAGCAGTGTGAATTAGTCAGTGCTGAATTTAGACTGGTGCCATTCAGCAGCTGCCAGTACATGAGCCTGTGGGTTTTGAGCAATGGGCAATGAACTCTCTTCTCCCCTGTGAACTTCACACGGGCTAAGGCCTTCTGGAAGGGTACAGGGCCAGCCACAGCTCTGCCCATTCTCTACCCTGAAAGTATTTCTGAATACTAAAGACAAATGCATGATGACAGCAAAAATCTTTCTTTCTGAACAGGTTTGAAGACGTGTAAATGAAGAAGATTATTTTTATCCCACAAAGGACAGGAATAATTCCTGCATACTCTTGCAGGCAGCCACAGACTTCCTTTGGAGGCTTGTTGCCATGGCACCTGTCCAATGTCCATGCCATCTTCCAGATTTCTGAGATTTAGTGAGAAAGAAAGAGCAAAGGAGGCACTAGATAAAAGGCACACAGCAAGGTTGCTGGGAGAAATATGACTCGAATTCAGCCTGTGGGATATATTCATACTGTTTAAGTGGTTTGTTTTGTTTCTGTTTTTTCTTTTCTGAATGGCATTTCATCCCAAGAACAGCTGTGATTTCTCTTTTGATTTCTGGTATTAGAAATTGCTATAAAATATAATCATTGAGTCAAGTCAAGATAAAATTAATTTTACTTAACTTCAGCTACCTATGTGACCAATCTAAGGGGCCTGCCTAGGCTTCTCTTAGAATTCACAGATGAAGGGTGCCTCCCAAGGATCATTTTTTCACCCTACTGCAGACACCTAATTTAATATGTGATGATTTGACATTTAGAACCAATCTGTTTTTTTTAACTACTGCAAGACCATGGATGGAGTAAACGTCTGGATTTCATGTGAGGTAAAATGAATACAGGCAAAGATTTCTATTATTTCAGAAACAGAAACTGCCACCTAAAAATGAGAAAACTAAGTGAATAGCCTGAGCCACACCTTTCTGGGTCTGGAAGCCATGCTGCTGAAGTCAAAATGGCTTTTTTACCCCATCCCTCAACATTAGCAGAGGTCAAAGGCCTCTCACTACATAAATTAGCACCAAAAGAATTCAACAACAGGCTGCACTCCAAAAAAAGTGAAGATAAATTAATATTTAGACAACCATATAAACATTATATGTCCAGGAGTGAAAATGCAGGTCAGACACAGCTTCACTAATTTGAGGACGTGCCATGGGACTATCTCTTTTTCTGATCGAGCTCCATGTCACAGGGGTTCCACTCATTCATAGTGGGAGGATTGCTATAGTTTGTTGGCTTCTGGTAGGGCCAAACAACTATATTTGGGAAAAGCTGCATTTTTAGTCAGTAAGTAAGGAGTAAGATCTAGCCTACCAGAAAAAGACATGCTTTCCTCAAGTACTGTAGGACAAATTGCATAACTCTACAAAGATAAATAAACTGCCTATAGCATCAATTTCTGGCTCTGTTTGGGTTGACAAAGTAATGATCTAGTAATGAGATATATATAAATTTCTCCAATTTCCCCTGAAATGAACTCTCTCAAGATAAAATTGTGTACAGATTGTAAGTCTACTGAAGATGCATAGTAGGCAGGCAGGTAAGAATTGTAATAGTATATTTTCAGACAATCACAGGATATGCTGAGTTGGAAGGGACCCACAGGAATCATCAACCAGTTCCTGGCCAGGCACAAGATAGCCTCAAGAATCACACCATGTGACTAGAGCATTGTCCAAATGTTTCTTGGACTCAGGCTTGGCGCTGTGACCACGTCCCTTTTTTGTGCCCATGACGTCCATTGCAATGCTTTTGATCGCAGGCAGACTGTCTAGCACCGTGGAGGGGTCTGGGGGAGGACATGGACAAAGAGTGTACAGGAGGACCTGTTGTTCAAGGCAGCTTTCTTTGGAAGTTATGTATTACAGGCAAGAGTAGACTAGACTGTGCCTGAATTTCACGCATTAAAACTCACCTATCAGACCTCATTGCTCTCTACAACTACCTGAAAGGAAAGTGTGCTCAGGTGGGGGCCGGTTCTTTTCTACTGTACCTACAGAGAGGACAACAGAAAATGGCCTGAGAGATGGGAGATTCACATTAAAAATTTTGTCAGTGCTCGGGTGATCAGAAATTGGTTACCCGGAAGGTGGTTTAGGGTTTAGCGTAGTGCTGGGTGGACGAGTGACTGGATAGTCTTGTAGATCTCTCCCAAAACTGGTGATTCAGTGATTCCATAAAAGTAACTTCGACTGTCGCTGTGAGCAGGGTCAGGACTCGGCGCTGAGGCACTCGCCTAGCAGCGCGGGCGCTGCTGCAGAGGGGCAGCCTCGCCGTGCCCAGCGCCGGGCCCGCGGTGCCGGCGCTACCCGGCCCCGCTCCATACCCGCCCGGGCGCCTCCTCCCACAGCGCCCGGCCCGGGCCCGCCCGAGCGGCCGCCCCCGGAAGCGCTCGCGGGGCCTTGGCGGAAGCGGGGCGGGGCGCGGTCTCTTTGGTGCTGGCGGCCGGCGAAGATGGTGAGTGCTGGGCCCGCTCGCGCGACATCCGCCGCCATCCGCCGCCATCCGCCGCTGCGCCAGGCCGGGGGCGCCGCGGGGGGAGGCCCCGCACTGTGACGGGGCCGGGGGGTGGTGGTGGTGCCGCGGCCGGGCTGGGCGCCTGGGTCGGGGGCTGGCGGCGGGCGCGGCTGCCGCGCCGGACCGGGCGAGGAGGCCGTGATGTGATCTGGGGTCGCGGGCGCTCTGGGCACTTTGCCTCGTACCTGCTGCTACTGTGGCCGGGCAGCCGGGCAGTAACGTAGCAAGAGCGGGTTCGGTCGCCAAGGGTGAGTGCGGCTGCTGTGTGTGAAGTTAGTCACCTTTCGTCAGGAGAGGGAAATTTGTTGCCTTAGCGTGGTAGGTGTGGGGAGAGGGGAGCCGATATAAATGTGCCGTGGCTTCTTTTACTTCAGCACGGGGGTGGGGTCACGTAAGGAATGGCGGCAGTGAGACCTAAAAATGGAGGCTACTTGTAGCTGGAACTGAGTTGTCTGACGTGTTTACACGACTCGGTTTGCGCTCGGTTTTTTAAGGTTTGTTATTTTAGTTTCTTGACTTGGAAATGTTAGTGATATTTCTGTGTCTTGAAATGCTTTTCAGACGAAGGGTACATCTTCGTTTGGTAAACGACGAAATAAAACACACACCCTGTGTCGTCGATGTGGGTCCAAGGCGTACCATCTGCAAAAATCGACCTGTGGGAAATGTGGTTACCCTGCTAAGCGTAAGAGAAAGTGTAAGTCACAAACTCTTAACTGGCTCTAGTTTAAAATAAACTTTTACTTTGTTTAAGGAAACAGTTTAAAAAAAACTGTTTCTTTTCCTTCAGTAGTTTGACTGAAGGAGAAAAATTGTTATTTTGCATTTTGGAGTTTTGTTCAAATTAATGATGATTTAACTGTATGGTAGGTAATATGCAGTATTACTGCATAGAAACTGACTTAAATGATCGTCAATTTTTTTTTTCTTCTGTCAGCTTGAATAATTGTATAATAAAAATATAACATGGAACTAAAATTATTTGGTGCAGGTAAATAACAATAACTTACATATTTTAGATAACTGGAGTGCAAAGGCTAAAAGACGCAACACCACTGGTACCGGTCGCATGAGGCACCTGAAAAAGGTCTACCGTCGATTCAGGTATAGCATTTCATTACACGCTTCCATGGCGTGAAACCCTGCATAGACACAACTTAATGACAAAATTCACCTGTCAAAGTTAACATTTTTATTTTGTACTAGTACCCCGTAATGGGTAATGATTTATTACTTCATGGCTTACATATTATTTATGATTTCATGACTTAAATATGAAATAATGTGCTTTATATAGTTATCTGCATTTTAGCCTCCTTAGAGGGTGAAAAAAAACTTACTTGTAAGACAAAGGGTGTGTAAAAAGTTGCAGTGTTTCTACTAAATGAAGGTAGTACCAGAACACAGGTTGTTGTAATAAGAAGCCCACATCTAAAAATGCTTTGTGTGGTATTGCATCTATTTGTGATTCAGTTAAGCAGATGATTGCACTGAGGTGGGGAGTTTTATAGAGATAAGTCTCAAAATGCACTCCATTCCCCATTTGCTCACTCAGAAAAAAGTTCAGGACAGGGATAACTTCTGATACATCTCTTTGTTTAGAGTTTAGTCAGCATTAAATGGGTATTGCATCAGATCCTGAGTTGCAAGTTTCTAAGGCTTGTTACAAAGCTTTTGAGTTGTACTTGGGAGGTAATGGGGGTATTTGTAGATTCCCATGGAACTCTGTAGTTTCTGTTCTACTACACAGAAAAGCTATATGACAAATACTGTGTAATTCAGGAGTGCTGTCATAAAAATGTAGATTGGCTTTATTAGCAAAAGGTAGGAGATTTTTAAGTCTCAGTCTTGGATGTGGTTGAGGGATCAATTCATTTGTTTTGGTTAGCTCATTCTTCTCCAGTGGCAGCCATAAAACACCTTCCAGTGTGCAGCTGTAGTTTGCTTTCCACTGTGTTGCTCAAGTAAAATGTCATGCAAAAGCAAGCTTAGGGCTGAAGAGTGTGCTTGGAGGCATAGAGGAATTTTGTAAGAAATAGGCTTCACTAATAGGACCTGTTTAGTTGGATTACTTTGCTTAGAGGGAATGTGAACTAAGATGTGATTTCAGCAGCTGAGCTGTATTTGCAGTGTTCACTCAAATAATGAAATCTTTCTGTTTCAAGAACTTTAATTTACTTCAATGTAAGAGAGTGAAAACCATACTGCTATTCAAGACAATTTTTAATAATGTGTTTCTTTTTAGAAAGGTCTGAATGGATGAACTCTGTAGCGATTTCAGTGCATTACTTAGATAAATTGAAAAAAGATAGTGAGCTTCATCTAAAACATGCCTGTCAGAAAATAACCTGGAGCAGGAATCAACTCAAAAAGTGGTAACCATATTTCTACTTGCAGGAATGGATTCCGTGAGGGAACCACACCGAAGCCCAAGAGAGCAGCTGTTGCAGCCTCCAGTTCATCTTAAAGACTCATCTGTTTGTTAAAATAAATGGTCTTATCCAGAAGATTTGTCACCTTTTTTTACATGTTCTACTTCACTGAAATGTAGTATTCATGAAAATACATAAATACTTAAAAACACAAATTCTGAGCTGATCAATTTAAAACAATCCTTTAATTGGCTATTTTGGTAGTACATCTGTCTTGTAAAGGATCCTAATCTCTGCACTGAACTGAAAAAGAGGCTTGTATGTATTACTCAGGAGGTCCCCTGCTAGAGCAGTGGAATATTGGTACTGTGGATTTGCCCTGTGTGCCTCTGATCTCAGTATGCTGTAGCATGGAGAGCCAGAATTTCATTTAAAAGCTAGTAGCTACAATAATGGCTCTATGTGCTGTCTTGGGAGGCAATTGGTGAGAGAGGGATTTCTAGTGCTTTTTTCACTGCTCTGTGGTACTGAAAAGTCTACAAAGGTACTACTTAACTGTGTGGATCATTGTTTCATGGGAAAAAAGCAGCTCCCAAGCCTGGAGCACATGTGCTGCAGATGCAGGTCGGTTGGAGACCTGCTCTGGGTGCAACAAAATTGCTTGAATTGCCTGATGAGGCTGGTGTGGAAAGATGACACAGAGATCTGAGTTAAGTGTTGGGTGTAAATAATTAAGTCAGTTGGCATTACATAAAAATTACAGATAAATGCCTTATGAATTTGTACCCTACATTGTGTATTACTGGCATTTAGACTCGCACTAAGAAAGAGATCATAAGGTGCTGCTATGAAAGTTTAGGGAATTGCAGTAATTACTGCATGAGTTTACAGGACTTTTGCCTTGCAGAGACAATACTAGAAACTGAAAAAACTTGTGATGCTTTAAGCTTTGGAGGCTGTTTACACTGCTCTCAGTTTTGTCATGAACTTCCAGAAGCAGAATATTGCTTTGTCGCTACTGAATGATCAGTGGTTTATGTATTACCTTCTGCAAAATCACATAAACTTTCAGCCAGGTGTGAAATTGCAGTGCACTTTCCTATGTTTTTAAATGGAGTTAGAGCTCTTGGATACTCAGTGTATCAACTTGGGTTGTTTCCAAACCAAAAGAAGTAATTTGCTGCTGTTCTGTCACAGTTAACAAATAGACTCTACTTGCTCTAGATTCAACTGATCTGTTGGAGGAAGTTGCCATGTAAGTGGTAGTGATGCTCTTAAAATCCACTGTGCACAGTACTGGCCATGTATTCCCAGGCCTAAGGAGTGCCCCTCAAATGTGGTTTTTGGTGATGTCTGGGAAACATGTAGGGAGGAAGTAATCATAAATATGTTATTCTCTGAGAATAAATGCAAGACTCTTTCAAAAACAGGTCAGCGGAATTCTAAGGAAGGGCTTTTTAAGCAAAGGTACAGTTGGACAGTAGTATGGCAGGTATTCTGACTGGGTGGGAGTGAAAGCCTTTGCTTGCCAAGTCTTAAGTAATCTTTCTGTAGCATGGGATTCTGCTCTGAACAGCCTCTTTGACCTGCAGACATGATAAAACTAAGGACAAGTGCTTAGCTACTTGCTGTTACCTCTTAGCTTCTCATGAATTCTGCTCTATGGTAATAGTGATTGAAACTTGCAGTGACTTGAAGCAACTGAATCCCTATATTTCAGGGAGAATTTTACTTGTAGCAAGAATGATTTTTATGGACCAGAATTTTGACAGCCATTTTCAATTGTTTTAAAATTCTTGGTGAGGAGCAGGAAATCAGTTTTTTGTGAGTTTTTTTGTCCTGTTCAGAAATGGTTGTGTACTTCATGTGTCAGTTATGTTTGCACTACACAGGAAATAGATTTTGATGCACTTCTGTTCTTTGTGGGGCATTGTTAAAAATTTAAAGGCTGCTTTGCTGGTTGCTCAGTGTATAATCATTTTGTTGAGATCTTGTTAAGCATTTTAATTCATAATGCTCACTCTATGCTTCATGTGTACAGAAGCATTGTCATACCCAGTCTGTCATGTGGTTTTTGCATCCTTAAGACTGATAGATGGTGTAGTTCAAATTACATAAGAAATTACATTTCCTATTGTTCAGTGTACAAGTCTCACTTCTTAGAAGTGTGTTGGATGAAAGTTGCTTAAAGGCAGAGAGGTGTTCAGGTGACTACAGTGGTGAAAGATTGATTGCCTTTGGTAAAAGATCCTTGTGTGGTGAGGTATTACATCCCCAGATACCTCCCCCTACCCCCTCACCCCCACCAAAACTGCCCTTGAACTTATCAGAAACACTGTCCTAAGCAAGGAGGGTGACAAGAGATAGGAAGTCGTCCCCTGATAGCCTAGGAATGTTACTTGCCTGAAACATAGCCTGAGTGGAACAATATTATGGTTACGGACTTTTGAAAATTTCCAGTAATTACTGTTTTGGATTGTGGCCAAGATGGAAACTGGCTGAGGACTGAAGTCAGTCATCTTGCAACCCTATGAACAGTGGTCCTATGTGAGGCCATTTGAGCTCCCTGGCACAACAGCAGGCTACAGGAGTGTCTCCCTGCAGCAGAGTTCAACAATTCTTAGGTTGAAGGAGCTAGTGGATGGGACCCATTGCTCTCAGAGTGGGAGTGGAACAGAGCTGGCATATCTTGAAGTGTGCATTCCACAGGGAGCAAGAGCTCTCAATCCCCATCTGTAAAAAACCAGGAAAGGAAAGCCAACAGCATGGCTGAGTCAAGACCTGCGTGCCAAACTAAAGGGCAAGAAGGAAATAAAAAGGCAGGGAAGCAGGAATAGGTATGCTGGAAAGAGCATGGGGGCGTTGCTCAGTTGTGACAGGATAGGACTGGGAAGGTCAAGGTGTGGCTGAACCTGGCAAGGGATGCAAAGAAGAAGGGCTTCTGTAGGCATGAGCCATAATGGAAGGTCAAAGTGTAACTTCCCCCACAGTGAACATGGCATCACTGACATAGTAGGATTGAGTGCACCCTCAGAGAATTTGCAGGCAACACCTGAGTGGTGCAGTTGACATGTCCAAGGGGCAGGTTGCCATGCAGAAGGACATGGAAAAGATCAAACTGGCTCATGGGAATTTAAAGATGCTCAGCAAGGTCAAGTGTAAGATCCTGCTCCTGACCAGCAAGGTCAAGGCAAATCCCAGCTAAGAGATGAAGGGATTGAAAGATGCTCTATGAAGGATTGAGGGTAGTGTGCTCGAAAAAGTGCTTGAAAAGCTGGACGTGAGCTAGCAATGTGCACTTGCAGCCCAGAAACCAGAAAGCCAACCACATCCAGGGCTATATCCGGAGCACTGTGGCCAGCAGGTCAAGTGAGGTGATTCTGCCCCTCTGTCCTTCCATCTACAGAAAGACTTCACATCACTGCATTCAGCTCTGGGGTCCCCTGAACATGAAATACATGGTCTTTGGTCCATGCTCTGAGAAGGGTCACAAAGAAGATTCAGGGGGCTGCAGCACATCTCCTGTGAACCCAGAGCTGGGATTGTCCAGTCTGGAGAACAAGAGGCTCCAGGAAGCCATACAATACTAATAGGAAACTTGGAAGAAAGATGGGGACAAACCTATTAGTAGGGCCTGCAATTATAGGACAAGTTGCAATGGTTTTAAACTAAAGGAGAGTATATTCAGGCAATCTAAGAGGAACAAGTCTTTCTCTATGAGCCTGCTGAGACACTGGAACAGGATGCCCAGAGAAGCTATAATACTCCCAGCCCCCTGGGAGTGTTTCATGAGAGATTGGACTGGGCTCTGAGCAACCTGATCTACTTGAAGATATCCTGGCTGATTTCAGGGCAGGTTGGATTAGAGGATCTTTACAGGTGCCTTCCAACCTAAACCATTCTGTGATTCAGTGATTTCTGCAGTACCTTCAACTTAGAAGATAGAAACAGCAGAAGAGATACAAGCCTGGAGCTGGGCAAAACATACTGTTTTAACAAGGAGGGGAGCAAAATGGAAATAGTACTGGGTGCTTGCGGAAGACATGTGCTGTACATTCAGGGGTAATGTAGAGTTAGAAGTCAAAGAGGAAAGGGCAAGAAGCATGTGCCTGTTTGCAAAGCACGCCAATGATGCCAAGGAAGTCTTAATGCCAGCTAGTAGAAACAACCCACATTAACATTCCCCCTTTCATATTGTTAGTAAAACTAAGAATGTTATCCCTTTTGTTTTCTTGTACTATCTAATTATTACATCATCTACCACTCCTGATCTGCTTGCTGGCCCTGAACCGTACAGGGGCCTGATGGCATTGCAGTATCTGGGCAGACATGCATTAGGAAAGCCTTGCTGTGTCCCTGAACCACAGAACTGGCTCCCTGTGTGTTACAAAGGGCACACATGCCAGGGCTCCACACTGGTGGCACTTGTAACACGCTGGGGGTGTTCCCACAGAACAGCAGCTCTATTTATGCTAGAATGCCCCGAGTCGTCCCACACATGGGAATAAGTTACTGAAAACATAGAAACAATTTAAAACAAACAATTTTGCAAGGGCAATTTGGCAGCAATTTTCTGTCTCAAAATAAGATTATGGAGATAATTGACAGAATTAATTAAGTCAGCTTGGAGTTCATTTTTTGTTTTAAAATTATGTCTTAAAAGTAGAGTCATGATCTGTGTGAATAAACAATCAGAAAAAGTGGTTTTAAAGTAGTGCATGGGCTTTTCAAGATAGAGTGTAATTGGGAGGTTGTCAGTCAGCTTAAAAGACTCATGGAGTAATTCCTTTGGTATATTTTGTTCCTACAGCTATTCTAAGAGGACAGCCTGCACCCCACACCCTAACAATACATTACTCAAAGATGCACTGTCAGTCAAAAAAAGCTCAATCTTCTAATATGACTTGTACATGCAAAAGACAAGGGAGGAAGCAGTGCTGCTGATTAGTATACCAGATACTCTCTGGTATCTAAGAGATTAAAAGATTACTTAGTGATTAATGAAATTATATAATTTTCTAGTATAGGCCTGTAGAGCTTTTTGAGTTCTCATTGTGTTGTCATGATCAGGATAACAGCTTGAATTAAAGCCAAAAATAGCATTGTAATCATTTGCTAGCAAGACACTAATGAGC